AAGCGAGGGGCCAGAGGAAGCCTGGTCCCCACTGCCAGAGGCCACTGCTTCACAGGACGGGGACCTAGGAAGTTGGAGTGAAGACACATCTGCTCCTCTGGATGTCAGAAGCCTGGAGAGAAGCCACACCCCATGTTGCACTGTCTCATTTTTATGTGCATCCCTGAACTTGGGCTCCTTCTTGGCATCCTTCCTTGGAGCCCTTCTTGGTTAGCGAGAGCTTTTCCTTGTTATTTCTAGTAAGCTATACAGTAATGCCTCAGTTCACAAATTCCTGTTTGCCAACAATTTACTCTGTAAACAGAAGCAGTCAGTAACATCTTGCTTCTTTTTGTAAAGTCTCCATTAGGTGACAAACGCACCCACAGTTACCTTCCCCTACACAGTGAAGCAAATGAAGGCCACCAACTGAGCTACCACCTACTTGGTTTATTTCCCCTCTGCTGGGTCCATAGACTTCACATTCTGCCATCTTCAGGACAAGAGCCCAGAGGCAGGGCGCCTTGGTCACAGGTTTCATGCAGGCTGATGCCGAAACAAAGGCACTAGGAACCTCAGACTATGTTCATCCCCTCAGATTCAATTCTGCTCCTTTTCAGAATGGGAAATTCCTTCCTCCCTGTGTCGACATGGTGAGCGTTCCTGAAGCCCTAAGGTGGAATGCAGCTCTCACCCATCCCTTAACCCTCCGCTCTGTTATCACTCGCAACCCTGGATTCAGGGGCCTTTTATCTCTCTGACTCCCTCTATAACAGTGACTATCTCAAGCCCACTGTCTTCTGTGTTCCCAGCACGTAGCCTAGGCCATGACACAGTGCATCACCTAAAAATGTGTGCAATGAATTAATATCAGGGAATCAGGTGAATGAGGGTTAATATGGAGGTATTCCTGGCTCTAAGGGCAGAGGAAGGACTGTTCCTCTCAGGGAGGTCTGCAGAAGAGCTGTGGAGGGCTTTGGAGGGTCTTGGGGAAAAGCATGTGTGAGGGGTGGAATACACACAGAGTGGGTGCTTTTAGGAAATTGTGATTAGGTAAAACATGGAGCTAGAGATGGGGAGCAATAAGAGATCAGCCAAGATGGGGAGGCCTCAGGTCATGGGCACCCCATGTGACAAAGCAGAGAGGCAGTGGAGAGAGCCTCACTGAAGGGCGTTATGAAGAGAGTCGCTGAAGAGATCAGATCTGGCTTTCGGAAGGTGCTTAGTACAAATAACAATGACAAACATGTTTCAGGCAGAGTTCCAAGCACTTTACAAGGCTTGGGCAGGCGCTAAGGACTGATGTCCCTACCTCCCCGGGCTATGGTGCTTGGACCTGAGGCAGAGACACTGAGGAGCAGTTGAAGGAATTCAGGTGGAAACTGACACGGCAAGGCTGTGGCATCAGGCAGAGAGGCTTAAGAGGTAAAGGGCGGCGTCTCAGGCTTGGAGGCCAAAGGGCTTGGGCGATGGAAGCGTGGGGGTGTGGGGACACTGCCCAAGCCAGAGTGCACGGTGGAGCTGCTCACTGAGGAGAGGAACAGGATGTTCTTTCAATCAGTAGAGCTGGGGGCTCTCTTATCACTTCTTTTGCACTGTCGCTGAACAGTTTCTACGGAGAAAGGCTTGAGCTCAGAGACAGCAACAGCACTTGCAAACGGCTCTACTGAAATGCTGTACGGGTGGCAGGATGTGGACTTCATTAGAGAATGCAATTTCCCATTTGTTGATAGTTTCAATATTGGAGTAGGCTGAATTGTATGCAAAAATAAGCGTATCTCATGAGTACCAAGGTAGGAGCTTCCATATTTTCTCTGTCTAAAAAGAGACTGTTTTCAAATAGAGGGATTATTAAGTTCATTAGTGATGGTATTATTTTTGGCTGCATACATTTAGAGCAGAATAGTTGTCATGCAGGAGACTTCCGTCCTTGCCTGAACAGAACAGTGACGAGAACACGGTATCCAGGGCAACCAAGAGTTCAGACTTCTCGGCCCATTAATAACCACTCTTCAGCTTGCCCTTTGCCATGGTAGTTTCTGGGCTGCTTCACGACAGAAGGCACTCCAGCAGGAGGCTGCTGCTCCCTTACTTGGGCTTTAAGGGACTGCTGAGGAACAGTTCATAAGGCAGTGTCTGTTTTCAAATAGCTTATTTGAAAGCTATTTGAAAGGCAGTGTCTCAGCTCCATGACAAACTGCAGCAACAAACATCTGCAACTCATTCTTAGGATTTTGGCTCCAGCTACAAGGATTCTCTGAAGGCTGCTCAAAAGAACACAGTTCCATATTCAGGGGCTCCATGTGCCTGGCGGCTGTGTTCCGTCAAAGCGCAGCTGAGCGCGGGAATCTTAGAGGTGGACAAGGTGGAGCTAACAGGCACTAATTAAGGATGGTTATTTCTTTTCCTTTCACATTTCCTTGAAACCAACTGGAGTTTCTTTTCTGTTAAAGTCCTACAAGTTCTCTCCTGAGCACAGAAATCTCGCCTTGCCTGCGATATCTTTAGCACACATCCGACGCCCATGTCGTACAGAATAGCAAGGTGCTGTCACACCCCAGGGGAAGGAGCTCGGGCTAGGAGGCAGCCCAAGCCAGGTGCGACGCACTTCTCCAGCGCCTCAGCAGCCCCCTCCGGAAGGGCAGCCCTGTGGGTGCTTAGCCCCCAGGGCAGCTGTAGGCGGTATCTAAGGCACACGTGTTAGCAGCAGGTGCCAGAGCCTCTGAGACTTCCAAGAGCTACAAAGACATTGGAGACCTGAAAAGAACTGGCTTAAAGATACAAAAAGCAAACTGCAAAATTAATAATTTATTAAATACTTAAGAAATAACATGCACTGTCAACTATACCTCAACTCAGTCTTCAGCTATAAATAAATGTGAATCCAAGCTACATGACTGTATATTTTCTTCAAAAGTTATTTGGCAAAAAGCTATATTCACTGATGAATGAAAATATATTTTAATGTGTGATATGATGTTGAATGTAGCTTTACATGTAAGCGTTCTTTGGCTTCTGAAGATTTTGAAATGGCTCTCGATGCTTCATACAATGGCAGCTCTTGAGATTCCATCTTACTCCAGAAAGAATGGCTATTATCAAGAAATCAACCAATGACAAATGTGGGAAAAAGGAGCCCTTCTTCACTGTTGGTGGGAGTGCAGACTGGTGCAGCCACTGTGGGAATCAGTGTGGAGATTCCTCAAAAAGCTAGCACTAGAGGTCTCATTTGACCCACCCAGCTATTCCCTTTCTTGGAATCTTCCCAAAAGAATTAGAAGCATCGTATCACAGCCGTGTGGGTACCCTTGTATACAGTGGCAGAATTTGTAATGGCTAAATTTTGAAAAGACCCAAATGCCCATCAACTGATGAATGGACAAA